AACTAAATGTTTAAAAATATTAGCATTTTGGAAGGCCACAAAAGTACACTATAGTAGAATTACTTAAAGCAGACTAACATTCTTAAAAAATTGTATTTTGATACGGTTGTCTTTCAAAATTTTGCATCTCTGATTTGCTCTCCTTCCAAGCCAGATTCCCCATTATTTACACATCTGTCCTTTTTCAAAAAATATATTAATATCTTATTTCTTACCAAAGAGTTGTAATTCTTCCAAGACTAGGTGATAAATTGACAGAAGAGACTATTACTACCTAGGAAACTGAACTTGGTGGTATATTCACTTTTGAAGTTGTAAATACACTTTAGGCTTTATTTAGCTAGTAGTATCTGTGACAATAACTTTCTTTTCCTTGCATTCACATTTGCACAATATAATCCCTGTCCCAATATTTGCCACTAAAGAAACTGCATATGTAGAAACTGAATTCCATTTTACATTTTATTGGTGAGTTATATGTGGGTTATTCTGAAAATTGGCATGAGGAAAAAGTTTCAAGACACTGGTTATTTTCTTTTACATGGTTGAGTATTGGCTGTGTTCAGTCTAAAGGAGAACTTCAAGTTTTTTAATTGTTCATGAGATACCATTTCTGTAAGAACTGGCACTTAGCCTCTGCTCTCGAGTTTATTTTTTAATTTTTAAGGAGAAGTTGATACAGTTTGAGAAAATATGACAAGCTATTATCACACTTGTTAGATTATCTGTATGTGTAGGCTTTCTCACCCAAGAGTTTACCTGTGTTTAATTAGATCTTACCTCTAGGGCCTCTCTTTGGCCATGGTGAAATGTGAATAATTTTGTTTTCCAATTTGTTTTATGTATGTGTAAGGAATACCAGTGAGTAATAACAGGAATCTGAGACCCTTAGAAGAAAGTTGATATACCAAGGTAATGTTAAAATAATGGCAACTTGAGAACTAGTATATTTGGTGAGTTACTATGTTTTAAAACTTGTTAAGATAATTGTTAAATTCCAGAGAAGACATACAGATGGCCAACAGGTACATAAGAAGGTGCTTGTCATCACTACTCATTAGAGAAACGCAAATCAAAACCATAATGAAATACCTCCTCACACCTGTTAAATGGCTGTTATCAAAAAGACAACAAACAAGTGTTGGCAGGCATGTGGAGGAAAAGGAAACTTGTGTTGGTGAAACGTAAATGGGTGCAGCTGCTATGGAAAACAGTGTGGGGGTTCTTCAGAAAAATAAAAATTGAACTACTGTATAGTCCACCAATTTTACTTCTGGGTATTTGTCCAAAGAAAACGAAGACACTAACTTGAAAAGATATCTGCACCCCCATGTTCATTGCAGCACTATTGACAGTAGCCAAGATGTAGAAACAATCTAAGTGTCTGTTGATGGATGAATGGATGAAGAAAATGTGATACACACACACACACACACACACACACACACACACACACACACACACACAATGGAATATTATTCAGCTACAAAAAAGAAATCTTGCCATTCGTAACAACATGGATGGACCTCGAGAGCATTATGAAATAAATCAGAAAAAGACAAATACTGTGTGATCTTACTTATATGTGGAATCTTAAAACAAACAAATTCATAGATACAGAGAATAGATTGGTGGTTACCAGAGGCAGGAGTGAGGGATGAGGGGTTGGGCAAATGGATAATGAGGATCAAAAGGTACAAAATACATAAGTTATAAAATACATAAGTCCTAGAGACATAATGTACAACAATGGTGATTATAATGAATTATCCTGTATTGCATATTTGAAAGTTGCTAAGAGTAAATCTTAAAAGTTCTCATCACAAGAAAAAAATTTGTAACCATGGGTGACAAATGTTAACTAGACTTATTGTGGTAATCATTTCACAATATATACAAATATCAAATCATGTTATATACTTGAAACTAATATATTGTTATATAAATGTCAGTTGTACTTCAGTTTTAAAAAGTTGTTCATGGTTGGTTTGATATATGGGGTAATCAGACTTAGACATTTCTGTGTCATCCTCAATGCCTAAAACAACTTTTGCCTGATTTTTGAAGCCAGCAAAAACAATAATAACAAAACTTGCAGTATTTATAAATATGTCAGTGATACCATAAATAACATACATTTTCCAAAATGTTCCTAAATGTGTGCTATTTGAAATAATTCCAAGAAACTTCTGAGATAGTTCTTGATAGAGTGAAATAAATGATAATGAGAAAGCTCAATCTCAAGGGCTTCTCATATCTTTTATGAATGTTGCTTGAGAGTAGTATTTAACTGCATTTTTTTCTTTCAAAATTTATTTCTGATAAAGTATACATGCTCTTCTGTCATAGGGCAAATATCAAAGGATGAGCTCCTGCCTTATTTCCTACCAATGGAATTAAGTAAATTTTAGGCTTTCTTTACATGAAAAAATAAGAGAATTGTTAAATTCGCTAAATATTGTTGCTGGGAAATAAAAATAACTTTATAATGCTGAGAGGAACTTAAGCTCTAGTTCATGGGAAAAGGGTTTGAATCTACTTAAGTTGTTGTTTTAAAGAGGCAGTATTAGCTGGTGAAGATATTAAATTATTGCTTTCCCTTTTTGGTGAACTCATGATTTAGAATATAAATATAAAATTGGCATTTGTGCCCTGGGAGGCTGCCCTGTATGGATTAGCTCAATAGCTCTTTTGCCCTCTGGCTTCTGGTTCGGTTTGGCCGTTGGGCAGCATAGGTAGGAGCTGAGAGACAGGGAGGAGAGTGAGGTAGGGATATGTATTCCCCCAGTCTTTCCCCGAAAGGCCACTGAGGGCTTACTAATTTGAGTGTGCTATTTGTTTCCTGCTGGGATACTGACTGAAATAGCTGCTTTATGTATTTTTTCATTATCCTAATTGGTATGCCAGAGAAACCCTAATAATACTTACCCTAATTGGGGGGCAGCAACTGAAGGTGTTTACAAAACTAAACTACCCTTTGTTTTCCTTGTACTTTGTTTCATCTAGTGTGTTATTAAAAATAAATAAATAGTGGTAGATGATAAGAAGCTAGTAATACTAATAGTTCATTTAAATATAGACACCCCAAAATATTGCTTTACTTTGTGTCCCCTCTTTTCCCGAAAAGAGTTTGGTAGCTTGATTCTCTAATAAGATTATTGAATTCCTTTGTATCATCGCACTGCTCATTAATATGTCTTTGGAAGAGAATACTTACCACATATCCTTTGGCTAACCTATAGCAATTCTGAGACAGTTGCTGGATAGTATTTTGGCTGTATAGGATTTTCATTTTCATATACTGTGTCTCTTTTCAATTATTAAAGATAATTGGGAGTTACCCATATTATGTAATCATCTGGAAAAGTCAGGCTTAAATATTGAGTTTGTGTAAGTGCAACCTGATTTTTAATTTGGTAATAATCTCAAAACTGCCAGTATTACAGAGGTTAAATCTAAATGAATTCACAGTTCATTTTTAATTGGCAAGCATAGTTTCTCTTGGAATGACATAGGCTCTATTCATATCCTCTTTTCCATTTTTAGTACCAAAATGTGTTATCATTCTAATTCATAAATTATCAGTCTTCCATAGCAACTAGGAGCTATTTGAAAACACAGGATAAAGACTGAGCTGTAAAAGAGGCTTGAATTAAAACACATCTGTAATAATAGCAAAAGAATTTGGAAAATGTACTAGAATATTGCTCTATTTTTAAAACCCCTATCCATTGGGTTGCTATAACAAAATACCAAAGACTAGGTGGCTTATAAACAAAATAAATTAGTTTCAAACAGTTCTGGAGGCTGGAAGTCTGAGCTCAGAGTGCCAGCATGGTTGGTTGAGGGCCCTCTTCTGGCTCCCAGACTTCTCATTGTGTCTTCACATGGTGATAGGGGCTAGGTTGCTCTGTGGAATTGCTTTTATAAGAGCACTAATTCCATTCATGAGGGCTCCACTCTCATGATTTATTTACCTTGCAAAGGTCCCACCTACTCATACCATCACTTTAGGATTTTGACATATGAATTTGGGTGGGGGAGGACACAAACATTCAGACTGTAGCAACCCCTTTTTCTCAGAAATTTCCCTTTTCCTTGCTTTGTTGAAATTCTAACCCCAAGCTACTCCCAAGTGTGGTGCATGGATAAGCAATGTTGATGCCACCTGAGAGTAAAAAATCTCGGTCCATGGCTAGACTATGGAATCAGAACCTACATTTTAACCTGAGCTTCCCCAGATAAGTATATGCATCAGAATTTGAGAAGCACTCTAACCATTTCCTGGGATTACATCTCATTAGATTAAAATAAAATTGTAAAGTGTTTAAGCTGAGGTAATTTATCGATCATGTAGTAACAGGTAAATACGAAACATTAAATTTACAGATAGCCTTTTCTTTTTAAGTACAGAGACGCCAAACACTTTTCTGTAATCAATCATATTAAACTAAGTTTTCCCATGTTGAACTGGTAATGTAAACTCAGGTACATTGCTTCACCAAGCATTATATTTGGGACACAAACATGAATATATTCATTGAGTTCATATCTAAAAACATGATTTGTGTGGTACAGTCTAAAAGATGGAAATTACTTCATGTGTTATATTTTATTGTTAATGCCATGGAAGCTCTCATTCTCACTCACATTTTCAGATTCATTAGTGTAAAATTTTACTTTGGGGAGCCATTTACTCGTAACATTTTTAGGGGGCCTTTTAAATTAGGATAAAGATATCAAGGATTACTGGACAGCCTAATATAGTTAATGTATTTAGTGTTTTTCTCAAGCTGTAACAGTTTCTATTAAAATGAAATTTTATGATTTTTAACTCAAATATAGTTATCAGTTATCTATATAATAGAATCTACAGAATAGTAACTAAGTTGTTGTTAACTGTTTATGGGAAGAAAACATCTGATATTGGCCCTTTTATTTGGAACATGGATCACACATCAGTTTTTTATTTTGTTGAATATATTTTTTCCTTCTTTCAGATTCATCAGGATTCATTTTTGATTTGCAGTCCAATACTGTACTGGCCCAGGGAGGAGCTTTTGAGAACATGAAAGAGAAGGTATGATTAGTTAACTATGGATAGTAAATTTGAATGTCATAGTTAAATTTGGGTACTAATACAACCAGTGGCTACCCAAACTCATTAAGTGAAATTTTAAGAACAAAACAGAATCCCATTGTATATCAGAGAGTAACTACCATGAAAGTTTTGAGGAATCAGAGCCTAGTAATGCAGACATGATTTTTTTGCATATCTCCATATATATTCTAAATTCCCTTGAAGGCATCTTAATTAATTAACATTGTAACAAAGAATATTTATATGGCTAAGTGTGTATCTCATTTGGCAACAGTTTTTAAGGAACAGTATAAGTAGGATCCTCCCATTCACTTGAAGAGGATTCTTAAGTCCAGGAGACTTCAGAGCAAGAAGAGAAACATTCTTTGGAAGAAAACCAGGTGTTTTTACTATTATAACTCTTAATGAGCTATACTGAGAAAAATATAAACTAAAAGATTTATGTGCTTTTTAAAATTATCTTATTAAAAGTATGTTGTTGATTATGGAATCATAGAGATATATAGGTTCAGTAATATAAACACTTTCACATTTTAAATTATCAGAATCTTACTTTTGTCATTGAATCTGTAAGTTTTGCCTAAAATCCATTCTCTGTTGATCAGTGCTAAATTTTTTGCTCATCTCAAAAATGTGTATTACAAATTATCTCCCTTTGAGTTATAGATTATATAGATTCCCACTTGTATGATTTTAAACCTTATCATTGTTTAATAAGCCTCAAACAAAAAAGAATGTAGAATATGAAAGCAAGTGTACTAAAAAAAGACTTAGGTTCTAATACTGACTCTGCTTATTACTTGTACAAGATACTTCTCATCTATAAAAGGACTCTCTTTTCAAGCAGCATTACTGACTAGGTAACCTGAAAACATTCTTAATATAAAATACCTAGAATACAGAATGAAAAATAGCATACATCATTTTAAATGCATAGCTGAAGACAAGTAAAGAAAATCCTTAGGAGTTAAATAAATAGAGGGAACTAAAAATCAGAGCAGTAAGCCTGAGCTAGGTAACTGATGTGTTATACTACTCTCAATAACAAATGGGCTTTACCACACAGGCCCAAATGCTCAAGGCTTTTCCTAGGTAAGGAATTGGAGCTGAAATCTTATATAAGATTGAAATCCTAAAAATACCTTACCTTCAGGGAAAAGGGTGAACTAGAACAAATCTTCCCACTGACTTATGAACACAGTATTTTTATTGTAATGTTTAGAGGGACATATTTAACAAGCAAAAGGAATTGCAAATAAGTCTTATATTTTATTAAATGTTTTATCATTAGTAATATATTATTAATATTTTATGAATATTGTAGAATAAAGCAAATCAATAAATTAACATTTTTAGGAACTAAAACTTATTTTAAAGGAAAGAGATACATGTTTAAAATCATATAAGAAAAAGCCTTTTAATGTTATATTTGAATTGAAGATGTCAATATGAATGAACTTGTGTTGTAAAAAACAAGATCTCCTACCTCCCTACCCACTGAAAGGGCCCAGAAATAATGACTCCCCAGTAGCAATAAACACATCTAACTCTTAGATCTTGGTTTCTAACTACCACTCCCTACCTAAAAGAACCGGAGCTTTTTGGAGAAATAACCAATTTTACATTGCACAGTAAGACAAGAAATGAAAATTATAAGGATTGGAAAGGAAGAAAAAAACTGCTGTTATTTATAGACAATATAATTACCTACATAGAGAAATCAAGAAAGGCTTACATTTATTTTATTAAACTTGCTTTTATCTAGTGAATATTTGTTATGTTTTGCATGCCTGAAATAGTTTATAATAATTTAAATTATAGTGTTATACAATTATGTGAACTAAAAATGTTTTTAAAAATGCTATACAAAAATTAAGTTGTTATTGGTGATGATTCATTAAACAAACTTTCCACCTTTCTCTACAATATGTTAAAAATGAGAAAACGTTAATGCTAAATTAAGTCCTGATACCTAAGGTAAACCACCTTTTCTTAAAATAAAAGTCTAGCACATACCGTCTGTTTCTAGAAATGTCCTGCTTTTCCAAGTTTTGAAATTAATTTTTTGCATTGTTATCACTCATCTATTAATCATTCCCAATGAGATAGTTGTATGTGCTCTCATTGACACTAAGGAGTGATACATAGTGTTAAAAATGAAATGTCATTCTGTGTTATTCTCTGCAATAGGTCTCAGTTGCGAGCTGACCTACTGATGTTAAAATTACTTGACCCTGTCATCTTTTCCAGATAAATGCAGTGCGTGCAATAGTTCCCAATAAGAGCAACAATGAAATCATCCTGGTTTTGCAGCATTTTGATAATTGTGTCGACAAAACAGTACAAGCATTTATGGAAGGTAACCCTAGCTCAGTTTTTTTGTAAGTTTGCATTCATTCAGATAGAAGTTACTTAAGACTTCTATAACATTCATTCGGCAACCTGATGTTTCGTAGATGATATAGCAGACCCCATGACTATATAACATACCATGCCGTTTTTTAAAAGATATTTCTTAAAGATACTTCTTTCAGCCCTAGAAATAATTCATTCATAAACTATAAGATATCTAGAATAAAGGACAAGCTGAGAAAATGTCATCATTTTACTCAAAATGTTCTCTAATGGTAGTTAAGAAATCATGTGACTAGTGGGATAAGGGATTTGATTGAAACTGAGTTGAATAAGAATTTAAAAAACTCTTAATGACAAAGCAGTAATCCAGTGGCCCAGCAATAGATGGCAAATTCAAGGATTCAACATTGTCTTCTAGGCTCCAATACCATTTAATTTGGTTCTGACAAATGATTCAAATGTATAAGTTTTGAGTTTCCTTATCTAACATATAGAAGAATGGTGGGTTTAGCCTTCAGATTTATAGAATTGAGGAGTATTTTACAAACTTTTTCCACATAACTTGTTTGAGGAAAACTTTGCCTGAAGCTTTTGCATCATTAACAGCTACATCAGATTAGGTCTCCTTATTTCTATTTTTCTGCCAGTATAGAATAAACAGGTCCAAATACTGTAAGATTATTCTTAATCGTCATGCATTTTCTTTATGTTAGTATTTGAGTCTAGGTAGTGTACAGCTCTCTCTAAACAACATACCCAAGTTGGTGTTTAATCTTCTAGAGGAGAGGGAATGGCATACTTGGGCTGAAACCACTCATCTTTGTTGTCAGTCTATGTATAAATAAAAGGATTTTCAAAATAGGCTGCATTAGTTGCTTCTTGGAAGAACTTACTGAGGAAATTATATGGAGAAGGGGGATCTAAATGGGGCAGGTATTCCAAAAGGTAAGCATGATATGATTATCTCATTAGCTCAGAGACTTGAACCTTAACTTTTCCTATGAGTAACTTTAGAAATTCTCCAATAATTACAAAATGCAGGAACATTAATTCCTGCTTGACCATGCATATGGTAGGAGAAAAAAATCTGTAACTGGTTTCTCTTAACAGGTAGTGCCAGTGAAGTACTCAAAGAATGGACAGTAACAGGCAAGAAAAAGGTAAAAATGAATTAAATTTAAAAGCATGATATTGATATTTATGATGTAAAATATTTAGGCTTTTCAGAAATATTTGAAAGAAAAGATTTATATATGCACTTTCAGTTCACCTAGTTAAAAAAAGTCTCCTATTACCTTGAAACACAGCTGTATATTTAGAGTACCACACAATTTCTTCCATGTGATTTAAGGCAGGAAACACAATGATTCTGCCATGGTGCAGCTACTGAGGGTGTATTAACATTAGGCAGGGATGAAACAGGAGAGTATATCAAAGAAAGCAGAGCTCTAGAGAAAGTGATCTAGTCCAGTGGTTTTAACATCATTCATATCATAGATTAGTTAAAATAGTTTAGATTTTTAGTCAGACAACTGTGTTGTAGTCTCTAATATTAATGAACTTCGACTTAAAACCCAAAGAGGGACTTTGCTACTATTTAGCTATGCAGAAGGGTCTGATCCAATTTAGAAGGCCCTTTGGCCTGTGGAGTCAGTCAGAACTGGATTTATATCCTGTTCTCCTACTTAGTGGCTTTGTGACCTTGGAGTATTGTTTAACTTTTGTGTACTTTAGTTTGCTCATCTCTAAAATAGAAAAATAATACTAACAAATACAGGTACCTAACGTCTAACATACTATTTCTCATTTCTTTCTTATCCACTTGAAACCAAAACGCTTTCCTCAGAAGATACTAGGTAGTCTGAAAGTGCTTCCCACAGCTCGATACTCTAAATCTAGCTCCTTTAGGAAATATTTGAGTATGGCTTTTAATCAGGTATCTCTGTGAAATCTCCTTGGGGTCTTTTCCTATATAAGATTAATGCCGGAGTTGTGGAATGCTTTCTTGATGACTGAATCACTTCGTTAGGAGTTCCGTTTCCAGGCTTGACCCCAGTGACCCTTCAGGATTTTTTCCAAGGAGAACCTAATACTACTACAGATTCCCCTGAAGCTCTCCATACCTACAGCTTTGAATATTTGCTTAACTTCTTCCCATTGCTTTTACTTAACAAATAGCTCTGTATGCTCTGGAGAGCACCAATTTATTAATTTCTTGGCCCAGAATAATACGTTATTAGTGATATAAGATATGCGTGAAGTTGGAAAAGTGAGACACATAAATTTCTTAAAATTTAGAGAAAGAAAAATGGCTTCCACTTTGATTACCACTTTGTACTCTCACAAGTAATATAGGAGAATGCCTGTTTCTCCATACCATCAACCCTATCAACCCTACAGTGCTATCAAACTTTTTGACCTTTGCTAGTCCAGTAGATAAAAAGTGACATTGTAGTTCAGCGTTTTTTCCCAGATGTTTTTACTATGGTAAAATGCACATAAATTTTACATCTTAAATATTTTTAAGTGTATAGTTTAGTGGTATTAAATACGTTCATAATGTTATGCAACCATCACTACCATCCATCTCCAGAACTTTTGGGGCGGGGGGAGCTTTTCATTCTAAGCCAACATCTGGAATAATTTGCCAATAAAGGCTTTCTGTTTTACTTTTATTTTTATTGAGGATAATTGACACACATTATATTAGTACCAGGTGTACAACATAATTATTTGATATTTGTATGTATTATGAAATGATTACCAGAATGAGTCTAATTAACATTTGTCACCATACGTGGTTACAAATTTTTTTTCTTGTGATGAGAACATTTAAGACCTGCTATCATAGCACTTTTCAAATATGGATCTCTAGAACTCTTTTCAGCCTATAAAACTGAAACTCTATATTCATTAAAAAGTAACTCCTCATTTCTCACTTCCCCCTGGCCCCTGGCAACCACAATTCCACTTTCTGTTTCTATGATTTTGACTACTCTTAAGTACCTCATATAAGTGGAATTATACAGTATTTGTCTTTTTGTGGCTTACTTCAATTAGTATAACATTCTCAGGATTCCATCCATGTTGTAGTATATTGCAGAATTTCCTTCCTTTTACAGGCCTGAATAATATTCCATTGTAGTATACGTCACATTTTACTTATCCACTCATCCATTGATGTATGCTTGGGTTGCTTCCATGTTTTAGCTATTGTGAATAATGCTGCAATAAACATGGTGTACATACTGTTTTCCACAATAGCTGTACTATTTTACATTTTTACCACATTGCACAAGAGTTCCAATTTATCCACATCCTTGCCAGCACTTGTTGTTTTCTGGGGGTTTTTTTTGATAGTGGTCTTTCCTTTCTTTTTTTTTTTTTTAATGCCTACAGCACCTGGTACTCCTAGGTGATCTCCCATCCAAGTATTAACCAGGCCTGACCTTGCTTAGCTTCCAAGATCAGACGAGATCGGGCACGTTCAGGGTGGGATGGCCGTAGACTCATTATATTTTTGACTTGCATTTCCTTAATGATTAGTGATGTTGAGCATGTTTTCATGTGTTTGTTGGCTATTATATATCTTCTTTGGAGAAATGTCTATTCACATCTTTTGTCCATTTTTTAATTGGTGTTTTGTGTTTTTTGTTATTGAGTTTAGAATTCTCTATATATTCTGGACATTAATCCCTTATCAGATATATGATTTGCGCATATTTTCTCCCACTTTATGGATTGCCTTTATACTGTATGGATACAGTGTTTCTTGATGCACACCTTTTTTTTTCCAGTCTGATTTGTCTATTTTTCTTTTGTAACCTATGTCTTTGGTGTTATATGCAAAAAATCATTGCCAAATTTAACGTTGCGATGCTTTTGTCCTATATTTTCTTTTAACACTTTTAGTGTTTTCAGTCTTACATTTAGGTCTTTGATTTATTTTGAGTTAAATTTTGTACATAATATTAGGTAAGGGTCTAATTTTATTTTGTATGTGAGTATTCTAGTTTTCCCAGCACCGTTTGTTGGAAAGACTGTCCTTTCCCCATTGAATGGTCTTGGCACCTTTGTCAAAAATCATTTGACCATGTAGGTGAGAATTTATTTCTGGGCTCTCTATCCTATTTCATTTGTCTGTATGTCTGTGTTTATGCCAGTACCACACTGTTTTGGTTACTGTAGCTTTGTGCTAAGTTTTGAAATCAGAGAGTGTGAGTCCTCCAGTTTTGTTTCTTTTTCCAAGATTGTTTTGGCCATTCGGGGTCCTTCAAGATTTTCATATGAACTTTAGGATAGGTTTTTCTATTTCTTTAAAAAAAAAAAAAAACGTAATTGAGATTTAGATAGGGATTTCATTGAATCTATGGATTGTTCTGGGTAGCGTTGACATTTAAACAATATTCAGCCTTCCAGTCCATGAACATGGAATGTGTTTCTGTTTGTTTATGTCTTCTTTAATTTTTGTCAGCAATGTTTTATAATTTTTATTGTACAGCCTTTTATCTCTTTGGTTAATTTAATTCCTAAGTATTTTATTCTTTTTGGTGCTGTTGTAAATGGAATTGTTTTTTGTAATTTTCCTTTCAGATTATTTGTTCATGTATAGAAATGTTGCTGATTTTTGTGTATCGACTTTATATCCTGCTACTTTATTGAGTTTATTTGTTTTAACACTTTTTTTGTAGAATCTTTAGATTTTTCTGCATATAAGATCATATCATCTGCAGAGATAATTGTACTTTTTCCTTTCCAATTTAGATACCTTTTCTTTTTTTTTTTGCCTAATTGCCTTGGCTAGAACTTTCAGAGATACGTTGAATAGAAGTGGCAAAGGGTAGATCCTTGCCCTGTTCCTGATTTTTGAGGAAAAGCTTTCAGTCTTCACCATTGTTCACTGCGGGTTTTTCATATATGGTTTTTATTATGTTGAGGTAGTTTCTTTCTGTTCACAGTGTTTTGAATGTTTTTATGTGAAAGTGTTGAAGTTTGTCCCTTTTTTTTTTTTTTTTTTGCATCAACCGATATGATCATGTGGTTTCTTTTTTTCCTTTCATTCTGTTATTGTGGTACATTGATTTCCTATGCTGAGCTATTCTGGCATTTTAGGAATGAATCCCACTTGGTTATTGTATGTAGTTCTTTTAATACGCTGTTAAATTCGGTTTGGTAGTATCTTGTTGAGGATTTTTACATCAGTCTTAGTAAGAATATTGGTCTGTAGGTTTCTCATAGTGTCTTTGTCCGGCTTAGGTATCAGGGGAATGCAGCCTCATAGAATGAGTTAGGATAGGAAGTGTTCTCTCCTCTTTAATTTCTTAAAAAAGTTTGAGGAGAATTGGTATTCGTTCTTCTGTAAATGTGTGGTAGAATTCTCCAGTGAAGCCATGGGGTCCAGGACTTTTCTTTGTTGGCAGATTTTTGATAACTGATTCAATCTCCTTAAGAGTTAGAGGTCTATTCAGATTTTCTATTCAAAATTTAGTATTGGTAGGTTTTATGTTTCTAGGAATTTGTCCATTTCATCAAGGTTATCCATGTTTTTGGCATATTGTTGTTTATGATACTGTCTTACGAGCCTTTTCATTTCTGTAGAATCGGCAGTAATATCCTCACTTTTATTTATGATTTTAGTAATTTGAGTCTTCTTTTTTTTATAGTCCACTTAGGTAAAAATTTGTCAATTTTGTTGATCTTTTCGAAGAACCAGCTTTTGGTTTCATTGATTTTCTCTATTGCTTTTCTGTTCTCTATTTTATTTATCTCTGCTGTAATCATTATTATTTCCTTCCTTCTAGCTATGGGTTTTGTTTGTTCTTGTTTTTCTGGTTCCTTAAGTTGAAAAATTAGATTGTTAATTTGAGATCATTCTGGTTTTTTAATGTAAGCATTTATAGCTATAAATTTCCCTCTTAGGACCACTTTCACTGCATCCCATAAGTTTTGGTTATGTTGTATAGATGGTACCTAATTTATGATGGTTTGACTTAATGATTTTTTAACATTGCAATGGCATGAAAGCGATAGCATTCAATAGAAACCAGACTTCGAATTTTGATCTTTTCCCAAGCTAGCGGTATGTGGTATGATGGTCTCTCCTGATACTGGGCAGCTGCAACTCCCAGTCAAGCATGTGATCATGAGGGTAAACAACCAAAAAATACAGTGTGTTCATTGTGATAGATGATTTTGCCCAGCTATAGGCTAATGCGAGTGTCCTTAGCACATTTAAGGGTAGGCTGGGTGGGGAGACAGAGTCCTGATGCTTCCTCCTCTTCCATCTTCCCAGAATTCTCTGCAATACAATTTTAATTTGTCTCTTTTTAAACTGAGGTTGCATTTCATTCTATATGTTTATGTCCTATACCATTTTTTATATTGTTATTGTTTGTTTGGTTTTTTTTTGTTACAGCTCTCTATATATTTAGCTCATATGTAAGTTTTTTTCATATTTTTTCACATTTTGTAATTTATCTTTTGATTTTGCTATGGTGGGTTTTGCCATGCATAATTTTTTTACATTTATGTGTTTGGGTTTATTCAAAGTATTTTACATAGTTATTTTAGTCAGTAGTTCAACATATACAAAAATGTGCTTAATTTCTGGAAGAGCATATGAGAAATTGGTAATACTGGTTGCCTTTGGGTAGCTAGAGTTACCTCTTTCGGGGCGGGGGGGATCTTCTGTTTCTTTGCTTTTTTCCAAATCTTTAACAACCATTAGAACAAGAAGAAGAAAAGCAAACCAAAACCTGCAGCAGAAGCAAGTAACAGTATTCCAGATTCTAGTAAATCAGTTTCTATTCAAGAGGAGCAATCTGCGCCTTCTTCAGAGAAAGGTGGTATTAATGGTTACCATGTCAACGGTGCCATCAATGATACTGAGTCTGTGGATTCACTCAGTGAAGGTATGGAGACACTTTCAATAGATGCCAGAGAATTGGAGGATCCTGAGTCTACCACACCGGATATGCTGGACAGAACAGGTGAAGTTATTAACAAGTCTTTGAAAAGTTGCATTCTATTGAAGAATACAAGGGCTTCCTGGTTGAGAAAGCAGTCGATTAAATCTAATTAGTCTCTTTTTAGTTTTTGTTACCTTTCATGTGAAAGAATCATATTTTGTAATTATCAAAGGCCTAGAAAAGTATAATTCTTGTTCCATTATCATTTTTTAATTTTAGTCTAAAACAGTCTTATGGAAATCTTCTAATAGTCCCTTAGTACTTAGAGTCTTAGGTGACCTTAAGATTTTTTTTAATTGCACACTTATTAAGGAAAATTATAAAGAATTGATGTTAATATTATTATTCTAAGATCCAACACAATGAGAAATATATAATAACTGTAATCCCATGGCTTTCCTAAGAAGTAGACTATTGATTTTTGTAGTCTTACATTTGTTTTCTAATAAAGAGTTAAAGTTAGTGTTAGTTGTAAATTCAAATATTTTATACGTTGTTTTTGTCTTAGTGACCATTTTGATGAGTGCTGGGAAGATGTTGGGAATATCGCTTTTAAAATAATTTTTTAAATTGTTTGTTAATCTAGCTCCCCTTGCTCTGTTGCTGCTGGCTTTATAAATGTAATACCAATTTAAGAATTATGCTATACTTTCAGATGTTCTTTTATTGATTAGTTTGCACACACAAAAAGACGGAAAAAAATATAGTACCTGCAGTGACCTCAAACAAACCAAATATAGTTGTTGGCTTCCACTTTTTTTCAAAGCTCTCCTCTCATTTTTTCTTTGCCCTTTCTATTCTCTAAAGCTTTTAAACTCTTTATTCACTAGGACAGCGTAAAACTTCTTTCTTCAACATAACTTATAGAAGCTATCGGAAGTTGGTGATGTTGACTCTTCACTTCCTGTATAGAGATGGGTTAACACAGCCTCTTTCTCTTCTTCATTCAAGATGCTGCCTAGGGTTGAGCCAGATGCGACTGATAGCCTTGTCCAAATGATTAGGCTCATTTGATTTTGTTCAGCCATTTAAGAGGCATTTGAAGTTTTACTTAGAACATTTTTACCTTTTTTCTTTGTGTACACTTAAGACTGCTTGATTGATATACCCCTAGATTTTTGCTAAAATACTCTCCTGTTTCTTTGGCAGGATCCATGCTGGAAAATGATTTTGAGTCTAAGTCTTTGACTGTGCACTCTACTCAGAAATCTCAACAAAATAGGAATGCTACCAAATCTCTTTCAAGACCACAGTTTTCCAATCTGGGCACGGAAGATGTTCCACTCTCCTCCACCAACAAAAAGCTAGGTAAATCAGAGATATACCTTTCAGAGAAAACAAAAAAATCTGTTTTTGGTTGAAGAGGACAAATTATCTCTTTGTTCCCATAGGTAAAGTCTGAGAAGATCAGCAGGTAATCTCTTTCTGTTTTCTAGGCAGTGACTACCCAGTTTTTCCCTGATTCTGTGTACACAGTTGGAGTCTGATAGTAGCTCTTGTAACAGTCTTATTATAATATCGGGGATTCTTTTTGTGAATGAATGTCATACTCTACTGCTAGAATGACTTTTATGCTACCATTAATCTTTTATCAGCTTTACTACAACATTTTTGTGCTGTTTCCTTCATTTTTATCTTCTGGTTGACTCAACAGTAAAAAGCTCTACCGTCTCTGACACGACATTTGAAAGAAATACTTTCATTTCTTTTTACAACGTCATACTCTTACTGAAATCTGTCAGACTAGCTTTAAACAAGATAAATTTTCTTTTAAGTACTTAGCATCTACTTATGGTAGCTCTGCTTTTTTTTTTTTAGTTAACTATAATAGTCATTTAAATAATCAGTCAATAATTAAACAGAGATAATAGCCCTTTTGAGTGTCATACATCTATGCACAGTAGTCCACTTCACTAAACAAATGAAGCATAGAAACGTAAAAGACACTTGTAACCTGTAGCTCTTTATTGAATTATTTATTCCTCATGAGCTCAATTTAATTAGTGAAGCTCTTCTTTTTCATCTTTCTAACATAACCCCCAGCTTGGTGCAGAAAAGCAAGTCTGAGAATATTCCTGGCCTGGGTGAGCTCTGGGGATCATTCCACCTGCTCCTTTCCAGTGGCTCTCTTCCATGACTTGGGTGGTTTCCTCACACTGATGCATTCAGAACCCTCTGAGATCTCTGTACAACTTTCTCATCTTTGTGTAGCTCTTTCTTCTCCAGTACTCTGCCCTGAGAATTCTAACCTTGGCTTCCCTGAATTCTCAATGCTGTCCCTCAATTCAGGGAGATTTCCAGGCTCAGTTTAGGATATCTCCTCCTTGCATTGCAGCCTGGAAACTTTTGAGGCAGTAAGTTAATGCAACCATAGGCCTCAATTCCTTTGTGTCTGTTTTCTCAGTGGAAAAAGTACTGCCTATTGTCCATTGTCTGAAAACCATTGTTTCAGGTTGTGTGTGCGTGTGTGAGAGAGAGAGAGAGAGAGAGAGAGAGAGAGCGAGCGAGAAGACAGAAGGGTAAATCCAATTCCTGTTACTCCATCTTGGCCAAGATACTTATTATTTTTTTAAGTCTATGAAAACATAAGTTTTTTGTTGAGGAGGGTGGCCATTTGAGAAACATTCTTATTCCATACATTTGTTACTTTACATGCTAATGTGTCAGATCCATCTTTCATGTTACCTATACTTTTTTATTTATTCATTACCTGGGGTTTTTTCTAAGGTTCCAATATTGAAAAATCTGTGAAGGACCTCCAGCGCTGCACAGTCTCTCTTGCACGATATCGAGTTGTAGTTAAAGAAGAGATGGATGCTTCCATTAAGAAAATGAAACAAGCTTTTGCTGAATTGCAGAGCTGGTAAGTTAAGTTGCATTTGATAAAAGCACAAAAATGGTCATTTATAAAGATGATTAGCTATTCATGAAGTTTTTAATTCTTGACTCCTAACTACTCTACACAGGGGGGAGAGACTTAAAATTCCTATGACAGGGGAGAAAAAAAAATGGTGTAGATGATAGAGGCTCTGTTCATCCCCCTGGCAACCAAATCAAAGTTATAAGAGACACAAGGAGCAGAAGCAAAGAAAAATCACCTGGGATCTAGATGAACAAGCCATACAACTAGGGAGAAATCCAAGAAAGCACTCCACAATGGCAGAAGGTAGTACCGGGTGATCTGGTCCCGAGCGGCTGAGTGAGATGGAGGCTGCGGCAGGGGCAGAAGCTTCTTAAAGGGGCTGCATCTGTGACGGGATTTTCACGGGGACAGACCTGCTTGCTCTGAGCAACAGTGCGGAGTAGGCTGTGCACAAGGGGCACGAGGGACTTACAGGGAGACATTGTCGGAGTGAGGGTCGAGGGGAGATTCACTCCGTACTGGCAGTATCCATTGTTCCCTATTGAGCCCTCCCCCATCCCAGTGCATGGACACAGCGCCACCATACTGTCAAGTTATCAAACTGGATAACAGAGGTCGCTGCACCCAGAAGAGTCCCTGAAACCCCGCCTCCCCCAACCCGGGCCACACCCATGTATATCCTCAGCACTCAGGTGCACCTTGCTGAGCAGCACCTAGATTCACACTGGAGGCAGCTGGCCTCAGTTTCTGGTGTGGCCTTTTCAGGCCACTATAAACACAGCATCTGTGGATTGCTTGCTGAATCTTGTGGCCCTGGAGGGGTAGAGACTTGGGCTAAATTTGGCCTTCAGCTGAACCCCTCAGGACTGTGCCATTGGACACCTACTTCACAATTCCACACTAATAAGACCGGGAGACTTAGGAGCTTTGCTTAGTACATAGGAACAGACACAGAGGGGCAGCCAAAATGGGAAGACAAAGAAGCAGAAACCATATGACAGAACAGAACAGAGATCCAGATATAATGGAGTCAAGTAATCTAACAGAGAGTTCAAAACACAGTAGAGATGGAGATTATAAGAGGGAACCAGTCTAAAATGAACACATTATCTGAGATGAGAAGTATATTAAATTGAATAAACAAAGGAATAAACAAAGTGAATAAAGAAGAGGATCACATGCCCTGACTTGCCACTCAAACAGAATGACAAGAAAAAAGAGGCCAAGACTATAAAGATGATTTAAGGAGGATATGGGACACTATTAAGGCTCCAAATATTCGTCTGATTGGCGTAAGTGAAGAAAATCAAGATGTTGAACAGCTGTTTGAAGAAATAATAATGGAAAACTTACCTAATTTGGTGAAGGAAATGGACATAAAACCCCAGGAAGCTCAGAGGATTCTAAAAATCAGAGATCCTACACCAAGACACATCATAATTAAAATGCGAAAAGTTAAATACAAAGAAAGAATATTAAAAGCAGCAAGAGAAAAACAAATAATTACATATAAGAGAACACCCATGTGACTGGCAGCTGATTTCTCAAGAGAGACAATGCGAGACAGAAGGGCTTGGCAAAAAATATTCGAAAGAATTAAGACCCAGGATATACAACCAAGAATAATTTATCCAGCAAAGCTATCATTTAGAGTTGAAGGACAGATAAGAGCTTCCCAGACAAAATAAACTAGAGGAATTTATCACCACCAAGACAGAATTACAGGAATTGTTGGAGGGACTTCTTTAAGAAAAAAACATGTATCAAAAACAGGAATAAAGAATGCTAACAACTACATTCCTATCAATAAGTACCTTAAATGGAAAAGAATTAAGTGCTCCAGCTGAGGGATGGAGTGGCTAAAATGATAAGAAAACAAGACCCCTACATATGAAAAGGAAGAGAATGGAAAAAGATATTGCTGTGATGAACCTAGAAGGTATTTAAGTCAGACAGAGAAAGATAAACACTATGTGATTTCACTTATATGCGGAATTTAAGGAATAAAAAGAACAAACTAATCAAAAACAGACTCAAATATAGTGGACAGTTTGGTGACAGACAGAGGGGAGGGAGGTTTGGGGGGCTGGGAGAATGAAGTGAAGAGTTAAATACAAATTAGTAGCTGACGGATAGTCGCAGGGATGGGGAGCACAGCGTAGAGAATGCAATTAGCATTAATACATTGGCTAGGTGGAGGGTAAAGGGAGGGAGGGAGTAATTGAGGAGATCATTTTACTAACTATATAGATGTCTAACCAATGTATTGTATACTTGAAACTAATTAAAATTTAAATAAATAAATTTTTTTTAAAAGGGGGAAAAATCCTATGACAGGTATAGCTTTGTGCTTTGTTCTATTTCTTTTGGTCATAGTGTGAGAATGACTAGGACAGACAACTGATAATGCTTTAGAAATGGGCCTGGGGTTAATATTGTTTGGAAAGGGACAAATAATTATAGAGTAGATCATGCATCCTTACTTTAGAGTCTGTCTTTTAACCAGGAATCTGTAACCAATAACATGATATTTTTGAACAAGATTATAAAGTAGAAAAAAAATCTATTTTTGTTTTCCTACTTTCAGCCTTCCTAAGGTACCCCACCCTAATGGTCTCTTCTGTGCTCTATTATCAGTTGTCGATTTGGTTTTTTTGTGTGTGTTTTTCAAACTGTTTTTTAATTTTGTGTTTTCAAAGAAATTTGTGTCTTAAAATATATTAGTATATGTTCTTTGGGGGAAATATGGTTTGGTAGTTAAAGAGTTTTGAAAATACTTTTTAAAAATTCTACTACTTCTTAGTGCCTTTAAAATGCTAATGTGCATTGTGAATTTGTAAGAGGGAGCTATATTATGCTGTTTCTCAAATGTATTTGATTATAGAATCTTTTGGAGGGAAAAATATAGTCTTAATGTTTTCTAGAATACCAAAGCTGTTTTAACTATTAGATATTAGGTGTTAACTGATATTTAAACCATAATTCATTTTGAGGGGGGAGTATTTGCATTTTATTAGGGACTTTTTTGGAGAAGACTTAGGGAACAAAGTAAAATGATGGGAAGACAAGTAGCTATGTTGATGTTTTGTTACATAGGACTGTCCACTCTGCTTATTTATAAGACTTGCCTAGATCTGAAAATTGAGAGGAAGTGTTCATCAATAGAGAGAACATATATTACTCTTCCTCTCAACCATCTGTTTTCTTGTCTGTTAGTGGACTGCTCCCTTGGGTCATATTTAGACCCAAGTGTTCACAAACTTGGTCTAGTTACTTTATGCCACAGCAGACAAGAGATAGAGGGCATATAGCTAGATTCAGTCTTCTGTTCTCTGGAATTGAAGAGGGAGCGAATTAACAAAGATGTAGAACAAAGCCTCCTAAAAGTTGCTGACCTCCATGTTTATCATTTGCAGAGTGTACAATGGTCCATTAAATCATTATAACCAAGAAGCACTTTTAAGAAAGGTAATTCATCTACTAGTCTACCCATGTTTTGTTCTGAATCCTGAGTTTCTCCCTTCTGGTTTTATAGCTTAATGTCATATCTTTTGTTTTTCTTACAAACATTTTTGCTCTAGCTAGATTACTCATTGTCTCAAAACTTGATGTGCATATTTCCTCTTCCATGTACTAGTTAGTGTCATTTTCCCAGTCTAATATGTTCTCCTATATCTTTGTACTTATCCAAATCCAACTAATTCTCTCAAACTTATGTTAAATTAAATTCTGACTTCTGGAAATTTTTCTAGGTAACTGATTGCTCCTCTTTCTGCACCTCTGGGAGAAAGCAATATGGCCTTTGCCCGGGATTATGATCATATCAGATATCGTTGGCTCATTTGGAAAATAATAAAGAGCTCAGTAGGTCATCACAACTTTGCCTTGATAAGCCTCTTGTTTCTGTGATTGTTTAGCTTACTTGTTACTTAGCCACAGGATCTGATTCCATTCAGAACCAACCTGAATCAGGAAACACAGTTCCGGGAGAGAGAGTTTTAAGTTCCTGTTGACTTAGAACCCAGCCAGGGGAAGCCTCCTTCAGTAAATGACAAATGAAATGGTTTCCTGACTGGGAAGTTGTATTTACGATTGATTAGCAGGCACAGCAACCAGGTCAATTTAACTTGAAGAAAGAGATTACCTGCGCTTTTCTGCTCATATAAAACCCTTCTCTTTGGCTGATTGGGTTTTTAAACTACCTTATTTCAGTGTCCCTTGTAGTTGTTACTTCAAGACATAATTGGCAGGTGAGTTAACTCCATTTGGCACCAAACCAGAACTTGGACTTAATGTCATTTAACTGGGAAGCCATTTTTTGTGTTGGTTATAGTATAAAAGAAAAGCAAAGGGTTCTAAAATTTGAACAGCAAGATTACATTACTCCTGACAGGACACTAGGGGAATTATATGAAGAACTGCTTTCACTTTGAGGCCAAATGAAAGCTGACACATACCTGCGGGAAGGTAAAATCAGAACCTTTCTATATAACACTTAAAATATATTCATATTGGTGATTCAATAATAATCATCTATGGACTCAAGTTTACTTTTCTTGTTAATTAATAAAATTTATCTGACTTGGAAAGTTGGAGCCATTAGTTGACTTAAGCCTAAGGCTAATGAAGAGTAGGATATGGCGTGGAACATGAAGCTGGACTATATAAACTGCTTTCGATGGTCATCATAAAATATGGTGGTGAAAAATACCAACAGGATACGCACTTAGCTTGCCTTTTAAATAAAAATTTCTATTTTGTTGAAAGTTGAAATATATTCTGACTCCCAGTAACCTCATGATCTTCCCATTCATCACTGATGGCTTACTTCTCCACTAAAGCTTGGGAAGAAAACTAGAGACAGTTGGTACATGTCACATATATTATTTCCTTCTTAGCTTATAGATTATGTAACAGAAATGCCACTGTAGGAAAATTTAGGGACTAAGGAATTTAGTCATTATGGAACAGAGTAGAATGAAGAGGACCAAAATGTTGAC